GGTTTCTGTCGTTTAAGGCAGTCGCACACAGAAAGAGAAGGACAGAGCCACGTCGCACTACGTCTAGAACAATTCGTACAACACGACGTAGCTGGGCACCACGGACAGATGGCGAACAGCACCGCCGGTGCACGCCAGCGCCCCCTGTTGGACAATACTTTCAGTACAAAATGTGAGTTTGTTTACAAAGTGAGAATGGATGGGATTGTATGAAGGACTTACGCATTTAGAGTGGCAACCAAGCACAAGCAGAGTCCCTCTCTACTGCGGAAGTTTTTGTGTTTGAAGCCAGAAAACAGCCTCTCCCAAACATACTACACAGAAAGACAGGGGAAAAGAAACAGTGTAACTGGTTCATTACATATCCATTACTGCAAAAGCAGAGAGAGAAAAAGACAATGAGCTATGAAGGAAATCAAGAATCACTGGCAGTAGTAACTAGCAAAAAGGATCAAATGTGGTTCTATTCACTCAGCAGCTCACATACACAAAAAAATCTAGACAGCAGCATTATGACTTTTTTGACAGTATGAATGGGTGTGATAAAAATTTCAAACTGAACTGCCCATTCGCTGTACAGTTAGCTCACCATGGGTGTTGCCGTCTGCTCCATCAGCTTCAAAATGAGTGCTTGTGACTGTTCTCGAACCTGATCCTTCGCATCACCCAAACGGTCAACTAATGCAGGCACCACTGAGTGGGGAAAAAAAAGAGGTTTAAAAGGTGATCTAAAAATGCAGGGCTGCACAATTTCTTTAAAAACAAAAGCTCCAGGTTTGCTGTACTTATTTGTAGGGCCCCATATTTTGTAATTATATCAATGACTATAATATACTACTACTACTGCTAATAATAATAATAATCTTTATCACTATAAAGGAATACGTCATATGAAATATTCCTATTGTAATATTTACATTGTAAACTGTAATATATTATGAATGTAATATTTTACTGTTTAAAAAAAATTGTATATAAGAAAATAATTATTATTATTATCATTTTATTTTACAGTACAACTGTAAAATCACAACTATAATATTTATGGTTGTCTTAATTTTTTCATTTTCAAATGTTAAACCATTAAGCTTTTATTTTTGGCCAAAAAAGCACAGGAAGATCACAAGCACTTCTCTGTGCAAGTTTGGGAAGATGGTTGGCGCATGTTGCGTTTTCAAATATATGTTATAAGCGACCCAAACTAAGATCATAGATGAGATCGTATGGAGAGCATTTACTGTCAACCGAGTCGCTCTGAGATGCTGAAAACACTGAATCATGACATACTTTTCATATGCCTGAATGCAATATGCAAATACAACCATTTGTAAATCAAAGTTGATTCCCCCAAATATATGTTTTTGAGCAACCCAAAGCAGTAACACTGGCTCAACCAATGGTGTGAGTTGGGGGCAGGTCTATCTGTTTGGCCAACCAATGACAGACAAATCCATTTAGCGCTGCTAGAGGCCCAGACATATCGTTTCATTTCATCTAACTTTCTACATTGTTGTACACCAGGCAGACTCAAACAATCTCTTTGTGTGAAGTCATCTCATTCCTTTCTCTATACTCCATTTGTTCCATGTTTTCAGATGAATGAGGTATATGATGAGTAAGGGGGGCCATCTGTTATTATCATAACAACCCGTTCCCGTGGTAACAGAAGGCGGGGCTCAAACAGCTGAGAGACAAGCACTGAGCCTGTGGATTGTGTCATGTACACAGCAAGTCATCCTGGCATTCCCCTTTCTGCTGATTATGCAATGGAGAAGATCTTTAGCTAATGCTGCCTTATTGAAGCTGTGACTTCAGTGGAACAAACAACAAACGTGCACACATCGCTTACCTGTGATGATATAACCTCTGAAGCGATCAGTCATCCGATCCACAAATGCGCTGACGATATCGATCCCCAGCAATGCAACCTGACACCAAACAAGAAAGAGACAAATCAGCTGAAAACATCAAACCTCACTCCTCCTCTCACTCAGGCAAACTGTACGACAGTACTCTGATTCTGCTTATTCAGTATCTGATACAGTATCTGTTACAGAGCTTTGTGTTGATGTGCGCTATGTCTTTAAGAAGGACTATTGTTATTGTGTGTGGGTGGGTGAATGAAAATAAGAGATTGTGAGATGGACTTTATTTGAGGATTGTGGTGGGTTCGCTGCAGTGTGTTTTTTGGCAGTGTAGGATGGAAGTTCACATTCCAGAGAAACAATCAAATATTTACTACATCCAAGAAGCTCCAGTTATGACCTATTTTAGGCAAAGCAGCCAGAGAGAGTCCTGAGTAAGGACAACAGAGAGGGTGCACCTGAAAGGCAAAACTGGAAAACACCTGGGCATTTCATTTTGGAAACTGCTTAAATGTGTTTTAATTGGACAGCGTTCAACTACACACTTAGCAATGAGGTCAGCCACACTTTAGGGATTAACCTCATTTTTTTTCAAGTTAATACAATCAGCAAGCATTTCTGGTTTCTTCTCTTGTGTGACTTATGGAGAAAACACTGTGTGTAAATATCAAGTCCATTATTAGATAATTTCTCATTGAACTTTGTCAGCATTTAACTCTATATGACGCATCGCTTCTCGACCTGTTCTTACTAAAAATGGTACCTCTATTACAGATACATTAGATTTCAGAATTAAACATCATCATAAATTTATTTTTTGTAAATGTAAATGTTTGGGGTGGGTAAGATTAAATTTATTTTTTTTGAAAGATGTGACTTGCACTCACCACGGCAGCATTTATAGGATCAAAAATACTGAAAATTACAATAAACACAATTTTTTATTTTTATATATTTTAAAATGTTATGTATTATTAACCTAACTCTCTTAATAATCAATTAAGAAAATGTACGAAGTGTTGCATTTTTTTTTATTTATATATTTTTTTTATTTAAATATACACAACAAATAATAACATTGATATTAATAAATATATTTATTTAAATCTAAGATTTTCATAATATTTTATTATAATTATACATTAATTGTAAAATAATTAAATTACAAAAAAATATTATTTAATTATAAATATGCACATTACTACACATTAGTTTGGGGTCGGTACGATTTTTTTGAAATGTTTTTTAAATAAGTCTCTTACACTCACCAAGGCAGCAATTACATGATTAAAAATACAGTGAAAACAGTAATATTATGAAATATTACTCTGTTTTAAAATAATAGTTTTCTATTTTAATATATTTTAAAATGTATAATTTATACCTGTAATGACAAAGCTGAAGTTTCAGCATCATTACTCCAGTCTTCAGTGTCACATGTGCCTTTAGGAATCCTTCTAATATGCTGATTTGCTGCTCAAGAAACATTTATTTTTATTATCAATTCTCAGTTACGCTGCTAAAAAAAATTCAGGATACTTTTTTTTTTTAAAAGTTCAAAATAGCATTTATTTGAAAAATAAATATTTTGTAACATAATAAATGTCTTTGCTGTCACTTTTGATCAATTTAATGTGTACTTGCTGAAAAATGTATTAATTTCTTAAACAAAACAAAAAAATCTCACTGACCCCAAGCCTTTAAACGACAGAGTATATTGAATAGTAAAAAAAAGAAGAAAAAAAAAGAAAATAAATTTACAGAAATATTTTAGTGGAGAGATGAAAACGGTCTACCAGATCTTCAACAAGAGGGCCAAAGAATATGACACCCTGCATTTATCAAACCACATACATTTGTAGAATTCTGCAGCTGTGTCTCCAATTTATGAATCACCCTCATCATTTCTAAAATCCAACCTCAATGAGTCTGATGTCATAGCCATCTATTAACATCAGCCCCTGAAGGCCAGAACTACCAGCTGAAGACAAAACGGATGAATGTCTAAAGCTGCTTTTAAAACATCAATACTCAATCATATTTCATTCCACGCTTCCCGTTTCAATGTCACTGTTTGCAGAAGTGTCCATTTTTGCCTCAGCCTTGAACATCAGCAGCAGCATGAGCCAGCATAAAAGCTTCGGCTTGCATCCACAGGCCATTTAAACATGCTTTTCTTAATTGACATGACATATACACACACACACACACACACACAAAAAGCAAATGTAAATGGATTACTCATATAAACTGCAGTGACATGTGCCTTTACATCCCCGGTGTAACAGAACAATACCCCACGCGACCCTCCCCCATCCTCACAACACCCCCACCAGAAAATCCACTCTCTCCTAGACACAAATGAATATGTAATGTATGCACATTGATATTAATGTTCTATTTTAACACTTTTTACCTAAACACTTCTACACACAGAAGCTTATCGTAAATACAATTACTTGAGCATTTTTCTGTCAGTTTGACAAAAAGGCACAGAAATGAATGTACAATCACATAAACCTGATGCATTTAGTGATTTACATGCAATAACACATTTTATGAGAATAAACTATTAGGTTTGGCTCAAGACTGTCACTCCAGAACAATGCAGGCATCCTTCATAACATACGTGCCAAACGGCTTATAACACACCTTTTATGACATTTCATTTAAATATACACCCCCAAAGCAGGTCACACGCTATGTACCTTGTAATTGCTGGAGTTGACCCATCCCGTCAGCTCATCTATGGTTTTATCCAGGCGGGGTTTGTCCTGCTCCACATCCCAGGACCTCTGCGGGTCGCTCAGGTAGTCTATGAGATCCGGGCCGACCTGCAGCCGTCGGGTCACGTCCTTCTGCAAAACCTGCTGGTAAAAATAGTCCATGTTGTCATTTTCCTCCATCGGGACGCTTTGTGGTTAGTCCTCAGGTCGCGGCGAAACAATAACAACGACAGAGTGACTGTCAGAGTCGCGTAAACGGCACGAGAAACTGAAATGTGTACAAAGAGGAAGTCAAATACTGGGTTTAAAGACACTCTCTGAGGGTGGCTGAAGTCTGTTGTTTAGTGCATTAACGGAAAATAAACAACTTTGACAAAGTTTCCCAGGAACCAAATGGTTGATCCCCCGAACAAAAAGTGTTTCCACTGAAAAACAAAGTGTGGGCGACCACGGACGCAAAGCAAAGTAAAAGAGATCCGCTGCGAGGCGCGTATAAAAACAGTGGAAATGTATCGGCTAACTCGGCTAGCTTTAACTCTTATGGTCGAGTATCCTGGGGCCTGCCGCCGGGGCTCTCCTCCCTCCTGGCGTCCATTTCAGAAAAGCCCGCTTCACGCCGCTCGGGTGATGAGTGGATGAGCCGCCGGTGTAGTGCCGACGCGCGCTGCTTTCACGGCTCTCCTGTTTACACTTAATACAAATATAATCCGCGGGTTGACAGCTGCCTCCTGAGCTCACGACTCGATCACGGCCACTAGACCGCCAGTAGCCGCAATAGTGGAGTGTTGAATAGCAAACGATCCCAAGGAAGAGTTGGGCCGAGGCCTTGAGGTCCTTCAAAGCCGCACAGATGTCCAGCATGATGCCTGAATGAAAATATGCTCATTTGGTACACAATTCATTATTTATCAGAGGCTGTGCAGTGCGACAGTATCAGAATAGAGACAACATACATGTTTATTATATAGTATCAAGAGAGAGACTATACATGTTTTATTGTTGTTGCTGTTGTTATTATTATTATTATTATTATTTTCTTTTATTATTATTAATGTATCCAACCGGCTTCAATGAGAATTTATTTTTGATGATGATTCTGGTTATTCCAGTAGGCCTATGCTGACACTTTTCCTTGTGATATTGTTGACTGAATCACATTTGGTAACAAAGTTGTTGCATATTTGAATATATTACTAAATTATTATTACTTCTTAATTATAACAGACCTCTTCTTATTGTAATAATTTACGCACATAGACTTTCAAAGAACCATTTTGTGCATTTAAAAGCACCAAGAAGATTATACTTACTTTGAATAACGCACACGCTTGTATCCATACAACACAATTTTTTTTAAATATGCTCTTTCGTCTCCCCCTAGTGGCATTAAATGTGTATGTCAAACGTAATTAAAATAAATAAATAAATGAATGAATGAATGAATGAATGAATGAGTGAATTGGTGATACATACCACATTAATAGAATGTACTAGATATTCTATACTACAGAGCATACTACATTTTTAGAGTCTATTTTACATACATATACACTGTATTACTTTACTGCAATATTATTAGGTTACCAAAATCCATATTCAACTATAAGTTTTTGTCTCAAGGGCTTTCTAGTACTCGTGCTATAATGCAAAACTCTCTTACCCAATAATTTGAAATATGGTTATTTTAGTCTATTATGTTCCTGTTTGAATTTAGATCATGATCATTTTTATTTATTCTATTTTATATTCATTATAAAATCTTAAAATTAAGTAGTTACAATGTAGCTAGCTAGCTTTTTGTTAATAGCTTGCAACTCTTATCAAAAGTGTCTTGACATTACTACTTGATAAGCTACATTTTCAAACATGCAAACATGTCTACAGAACACATATATGGTGAAGAGAGAAAAAACAACAACAGGTTTCAGGTCCTGTTTAAGCGAATCAGTGGTGTAAACTGGTCTAAAATTCCAAGATGCTAAATCATATATTGTTATAACCATGTTTATAAACAAATTATTCATTTCAACAATAAACCGAGTATATGAAACCATAAGAACTAACCATCCAGAATGTGACACACAGCTCAGATCTTTTATTTAAAGAAATGTCACATTAACAACCAGAACACAAGGACATTCAGGTAACTTTTCATCTTTGTCAAAAAAATATGGGAGAGAAAGAGGGGAACAGATTAACTGTTACAGAACAATACTAAATAAACTTCATTTCGCAGACAGGTTTAGCATTGCCTTCTAAAGTGGTCGAGATAAAGAATACTGGAATCACTGGTGTATGCATTGACAGGAAATGATGACATCCTCATCAGCATCAGCATCACAGCTAATGGCAAAAACCAACTTAAATAGAGAAGAATACAAGAGAAAAAAATATGATAAACTACATCGCAGCCCTGAGCATTTCTGTGGCTGTAACCCACCCCTCCCTCCATTTGCAAAATCAAAGGCACTCACACTGACAAAAAACATTTCCATTGAGTAGATGATCAACTCAGCAGCTGTTTTCATCAGCAAGACTCGACATGATTTTAAATATGCAATGTTACGCATCAAACCAATGTTGCACATCAGTTTTATGCACAAGACTTAAGGGATGAACTTACAGGGACTCTTCACCCAAATATGAAATTTTTGTCATCATTCACTTTGTACCAAAACTCTTGGTCACCATTCATTTTCATTGCATCTTGGTCTATACAATGAATGTGAATATAGACTGAAACTAAAAATTTTTGTTCCACACATAAAGACAGGTTTGAAGATGGGTGAGACGATAACAGAAGTAAAATTTTTTGTGGAACCATCACTTTAAATAATGATCGCTTGGTTAAGGTTTGATATTTTTCCCTTGGCGTATTTGTACTGTTGATTTTTGTATAATTTACATATTACACTCAGATCTGATCTAGTTCACTCAAAAAATGAACACTGTGTCATTATTTACTCATCCTTGTGTTGTTTCAAACCAGTATGAGTTTCTTTTGTGAAACTCAAAAGATGACATTGTGTAGAATGAACATCGAATGGACACAAAAACATATTTTTCAAAATATGTTCTTCTGTGTTCCAGGTTTGGAATGACATGAGGATGAGAAAACGATAACAGAATTTTCATTTTTGGGTGAACTACGCCTTTAATGATGTGTAATTGGCAGTAAATATACAGGAATGGGACATTGCGATGAGAATACTTTGAAATATTGAGGAAATGCCTGAATAAGGAGTGTTCTAAATCCTGTCACATACCACAGTTACATATGCCTGGGCTTTCAATATTGCACTGAAACATTGTGAAACTTATGATAATTTATTCCTGATGTATCCCCCCGAACCCTAAGCACATGTATATTATCTAAATTTGAACATTCACATCAATCATGACATACTGTAACTCCACACTGAAGCAAAATCCACTTTATCTTGCATGCACAATCTGTCCTTTTCTTCCCCTCGCTCGCTCAGGTGATTTCAAATGCGATTTTTTCGTCCGCTCAAAATTAGGGTGAGCACTAACAGAAAATAAAAAAAACATTTTACTCCAGTTTTAATACGGGCTGATTCATTGTAGTGTTTTATTTTGTTTTCTATATTTAAACATCCTCACACACACACGCAAAACCAGACAGAAACGCTCAAAGCTTCCTGCTCTCAGGTTCGAGAAAGTCACATGATCAATCGGTGGGAGGCGTATCCTACAACACTCCAGAGACTTGCATCCTGCTGCTCATTTCCTGTTGTTTCAATTTGTTCTCGTCGTAAGAGAATGCATTCCTATTGGTTGAGGAAGAGGAGCAGGACGTAAACACCGTGTAGTCGTCATAACGGCATCAAAATACCTCAAAGTTCTTTGCGGATTCGTTCTATATTCATTAGTTCCATAATGCTTTAAGTACTTCCTCCAATTTGTTTTCTATATATCCAAATATGAAATATTTTACATGGTAGCTCCTTGATTTTTCTTCTTTTATATCCAAGTAGGTGGTATTGTATGTGCGTAGTATTTGTCAGGTTGCATTGTATTTATTTTGCGTAACTTGTTCAGGTCCATCCTGCTGCCAGGCAACCGCTCAGTGAACAAGCCATGCTTCCTTTAGCCACAACCCCACACAGCGTCTCGTAGTGGTGCGGAGCGGAGGCAGGGCGGAGTTTAGAAGTTGTCTGACAGCTTGACTTTCTATGGGATCTTCCAGAAGCCCCTCCTTCTGTCAGAGTATGACGCAGCATCGGCAGAGACGCTGACCACCTCCGTGCACTGAGGGAGGGGGTGTCACTGGGGCAAAGTAAGCGTGGACTTTGATCTCAGGAAGGTGAGCCTACAAGAGAAACAACAGCAGAATGAGCCAGAGTGCAGAATGTGACATGACAACTGGATTAAGTCATTTTTCTCTACACCCTGAAAAAAAGAAAAGTCCAATAGCTTGTCATGTTTGGTTTGGACCAAAACTCAAGATTAACACAGAAGACTTTAAATGGAAGAATTAAACAGAATAAGTCTATAATAAAACAATATTGGTTTTTTTTATAAATCCATTTTTAAGTGTCTGATTACCATTATTAATATATAGATTTTTAATAGTTTTATTGCTACTTTTTTTTTTTTGTCCAATAGCTTGTCATGTTTGGTTTGGACCAAAACTCAAGATTAACACAGAAGACTTTAAATGGAAGAATTAAACAGAATAAGTCTATAATAAAACAATATTGTTTTTTTTATAAATCCATTTTTAAGTGTCTGATTACCATTATTAATATATAGATTTTTAATAGTTTTATTGCTACTTTTTTTTTAAAAAAGTAGAAATTAATAAAATTAATAAGACTTCTACAGTAAAACATAATATGAATAATAGATTCATTAATGATATCACTATTATTAATTATAAAACTATACCATTGTATAAAATATACTGCATACATTTCATATTAGGCATATAATGTTATGAATAAATATTACAAATACACAGCATATTATAACAGCCCAATTGTTTTAGGTTTTAAAAACAACAGTCTTTATGATTATGACTGTGTACATGAAGCATGGCAAGACTTCATCAGTGAAGGAAAATAGAGGATGAAACTGAAAGTAAATCATAGGGATTATTGAGCACCAAGGAGGCTTGTGTCCAAACAACATAGAACTACTGAAGAAAAGTGACAGCAAACCTAAACCTGGACAGCTGGAGCACCAAAATGAACTTCAACATCTGCCCTGACCAGAAAAATCACCTGACTTGAATGCTATCAAACCACTGTGTGCACTGTAACCAATGACAACTTACAAATGAGGCCCTTGTTTGACGTTTGTTCATAGATGTTACAGATTGTAATGTGAACAGTGTAAAACTGACATTTTTGAAATTTCACATTTCTGAAATGTGAAAGTCACATCGTGTTTTCATGACTGATCACTGCTGTTGGCACTGCAGACACTGCACATTTGAATTCTGCACATAAATGGGGATCATTTTTGTCTTTATGCGGTTGTTAGAGTTGAGACTATGTGTGGGAGTTGTGACATATCTAGCTATTATTTTCCACAGACCCGGATTCGTTTGATGCCCGCGCGGGTGACCTGCTGGCAGTCATAGAGCTCAATGCGTTCCAGATGCTGGCAACTTTTGAGGTGCTCCAGTGTGATGTCTGTGATCAAGGGGCAGTTGTCCAGCTCCACGACCTGCAGACGCTCCTGACCACACACACTGCTGCTCAGGTGTCTGATTCCATCGTCTGTTACCAACTCGCAGTGAGACAGGCTCTAGAAAACACACACACACGCCAAACTGAGCAAGCTATAAAGAGTGAGCTTCTGAAAACAAATGGACATGCTTCATAATTCCTTTACAGAAAGCCATAAATAACAAGCATAGAAACAATACTCCCACACACTCTCTCAATCACTCACCAGCGCCTGCAGCCGAGGGCAGTGGATTGAGAGCTGAACCAGAGTGTTATCAGTCACCTGAATGGGACATACAGACACAGAACATTAATATTAGCATGCTGACTAATCAGGATATATTGTTGCAAGGAAACAGACACAGCGCAATAGCAGTTAAAAAAAAAAAAAATCTCAGAATACCTGGCTATATAGTAGAGGTAGATTTTACAGAAAATTTTATCTGTGCTGTTAGCACAAGTTTTTTTTCACCTTTTAATTTTATTAATTTTTATACATTTAATATATTCAATAACGAATTCTAATATTTAATATTTTATGAATTAGAATATCAAAAATGTATTTATTTTGTTATATAATAAATTGTTCAAATTTGTCATTGTTTTTAATATTGTTTCATTAATTCTTTCTTCGTTTTTTTATTGTTGTTTTACGGTTTACATTTTGTTGCAGGCTGCCTAGTGACAACTTTCCCCAAATATAAAACCATTCAAAATGTTGAGGTTAGTAAGTTTTTCTTTCTTTAAAGAAATTAATACTTTTATTCAGAAAGGGTGTATTCAATTTATAAAAAGTCACAGTAAATGTTACAAAAGATTTATATTTCAAATAAATCACAGTTTCCATAAAAATATTAAGAAGCACAACTGTTTTCAACATTGATAATAAGAAATGTTTCTTGAGCAAATCAGCATATCAGAATGATTTCTGAAATATCATGTGACACTGAAACCTGCAGTAATGAAGGCTGCTGAAAATTCACCTTTGCCATCACAGGAATAAATTACATTTGAACATATACTGAAATGGAAAACTGTATTTCAGTGTATTTTATTGTATTTAATCAAATAAATGCAGTCTTTGTGAGAATAAGGAACTTCTTCAAAAACATTTCAAATATCTTACCCTCTATATTTATTTTATATTAATATTTATAACATTATCAGCTATAATGAATATATAGCACATTACTAAGATACTAATAAAAAAAAAATACCTATATTTACCCTTAAATACACAAAAGTGAACCCGTCCATGATGACTTGGCAATATACACCAAATAAGAACTTATGGATTTTAAACTCACCAAAATACATTCCTCTAAATCCATCTTCTCCAAATCATGACAATTCTAAAACAGAAGGCATAGCTTGTTTAGGAATCCTGTCACATCAGCGATGTCTCTCTAAATCCAATGTGTTTATGTTTTGTAATTTTGGGGTGTTTGTGTGATTACTCACTCTGGCAAGAACAGTAAAACCAGCATCAGTCACATGTGAGCAGCGAGCAGCCTCCAGGATCCTGAGGAAAACACATGCAATGTGAATGAATGACTCTGTGTGGGCATGTGTGCTTATCTGCGTACAGATGAAGAAAGCTTTACTTGAGCCGTTGGCAGTTGAGGCCGAGGGCAGTCAGAGAAGCGTCTGTGATGTTGCTGCAGCCAGACACACAAACCATCTGCAGTTTGTGACAACCACGGCACAAACTCACAAAGCCGTCATCTGTGATTTGCTGCAAGATGGATAAAACAACAAATGAACATTGTGTATTTGTTTTTCACAAGCAATATTTAACAAAAGTATAGTAATAATTCAAAGTCTTACTGTGCATGATTGCATGTTGATTGTCATGAGCTCTGGACAGTGCTTTTGAAGGTGCTTCAGTGCAGTATCATCAAGCTGAAAAGACACATTTATCAATTATTATGTCACATTATCAATGATTTCACTCAAAGTGTTTTGTGTGAGTGTGTGCTTGTATAGATGTATGTACCTGTGTGCAGCCTCTCAGAAACAGAGCTCTGACACTTGTGCAGCCATGGCTGAGAGCCTCGATGCCATCACTCATGATCTGATCACACCAGGACAGGTTCAGATTCTCCAACATCCGACAGCCCTCACTAGCAGGCAGAAAGAGTCAATACGAGGGTATGAAGCAAACAAAACGCTAAAAAAATAACTTAAACACCACCTAACAAACAAAAAAAACCAAAATAAAGTTATTTAAAAGAAAAATAAAGGAAACTTTTTAACCGCTAACCAGTAGAGTAAAAAACAATACACAATGATTTTTTTTGATGATTTGAAAAATAATTTTTTCTCTTTTTCCAGTTATAATAAACCCCTGTTATATGACGATCATTAAACCATTCAAAATTTGTTTCCAAAACTTATAATTAAAAAAAACAAAATAATAATAAAATATATATAAACATTATTATTTTCTTTTTAAAATGTGCTTTATGCATTTCAAACAATACCTTGCACTGTTAAGATGTGGGAAGATAAGCAGCAATTATCTCAAATGTCTAACAATGAGTAAATAACTGGCCTTAGTTTCTGTTTAAATATTCACTCCCAGAATTTCCTGTTTCACCAGCTCATACAGTATAATCTACTACAACTGTGGGAAAAAAAATCAATAGAAGAAATGTGACAGAGGTGACAGACTTATAATCATTAACAAAGTCACCCTCCTGACACAATGAAATTAAAACTAGGCTTTGATTTAACATTCCCCAATTAAGTTTGAAAGACTCAGTTTTGCTTTTTTTAGTCCATTAGCTTTGAGGTCATCAAGTGTTTAAAAATGGAGTCTTTCACTACGGACAAAATTAAGCAATAATATTGTTGTCTTATTTTACACTCAAGGGACATACATTTTTTTGTCCAATAATCATCATGATTCGTGCTAACCCAAACAGGACTTATGGTCATGATATTTAACATTATTTACAGAATCAAAACAAATAACCCAGCCTAAATTAGCCTTATAACTGCCCCACCTTAAGGCCTTAAGTGCATGATTGGTGATGGACACGCAGGAGGTCAGGTCAAGGTGGCGAAGTTTGGAGCAAAACTTGCTAAGGCTGACGCAGGTGGAGTCTGTGATCTTGGTGCAGCCGTTGAGGTTTAGATGTTCAATGTTGCGACAGTTCTGAGCAAAGGTCCTGCCAAATCAAATGAAACCTCTTAGCTGACAATGTTAAACAGAAAAACTACACAATAAAAACCAGATACACATGGTCCAAAACAGCAACAAATAATCATTATACCATCTCCTAACCAGCCACAATATGACACGTTTGTCACAATGAAAGCTAAACTGCTGCACAATCCAATCAGCTATTTTGAAAGATATTTGATATATAATATGCAATTATATGGAAAGAGACCAATGATATGCATTATGGGCGGGCAACTATGAAATAGAAACCAATAAATATCCATTAAAAAAAATTATACAAAATGCCCTGTCAGTCTTCACAAATCACAGCCAGTTAGGACAAAAACTGATTCAGTGAAATCACTTTCATAACTTGCTTTTGTCACAATGAAAGCTAAACTGCTGCACAATCCAATCAGCTATTTTGAAAGATATTTGATATATAATATGCAATTATATGGAAAGAGACCAATGATATGCATTATGGGCGGGCAACTATGAAATAGAAACCAATAAATATCCATTAAAAAAATTATACAAAATGCCCTGTCAGTCTTCACAAATCACAGCCAGTTAGGACAAAAACTGATTCAGTGAAATCACTTTCATAACTTTGACTTGCTTAAATGCAGCTGAATGCTATTTTATACTTTTGATTGGACAGTTTCATTAATTGCATGAACTGTGCAATCCTACAGTGCATGTTTTGATTAACAAAAAGTAATGCGGCTCACTTCATGGAGGCATCTCCCACACTGAGGCAGCCCCGAAGACTGAGCTGCCTCAAAAACCCCCCACATCGCTTCGAGATGTTCTCCACGACACGTCCCTAATAGAAAGACAGAGAGAGAGAGAGAGATCAGGCAGAGGATCAGGGATGACGTTACAGTCTATGGATTCAGTAGAAAGCCTACTGACCCAGTGTTAATCCCACACACATAACAACCACAGACAGACAATTTAAAGCACATAGCAACATATTACTGATGCCAATAACACACAAGACTGTATCTGCAATCACAAACCAAAACATTTACTTTACACATGCTTTTTCACCTCAATATCTGTCTGAAAGTTAAAGAGATCAATCTTCTGCCAGTTGCTTCCATCTAATGCAAGAACATTCCATGCCTGTTCATCCACAGAGAAAAGGAGGAAGCATTGTTAGAAAACTTAATCTTAATTCTAGACATTTTTGTTTCATTTGAACTAAACAAGCAGCTGAACATACCTTGGATACTTGGGCACACCTACACAATGTAACTACATCCAGGAAGGAGAAAATCCTGAAATAAAAACAGAGACTTTTGATTAATTGTTTATTTTTTGTTTATTATTCAGTTTTTTCCTTGCTACCCACTTCCTGTAATCCTTTGACAGTACATACAAAAGTATGTCAAGCCAATAAAGCAATTAGAATTTTGGAAATTAAAAAATCAGATGGCCAGACCAACAGATAGACAGATAGATAGATAGATAGATAGATAGATAGAGAGATAGAGAGACTAACAGATAGATGATCGATTCAGAGACAGACATGAAGATAGATATTTACACATTTTATTACAACGTAATCTGCCATCTATTGCAATAAGAGTCGTTATTATGATAGGCTCACCGGAGCAGAAGCTCTTTGGGAAGTTTTTTGTTGATTAGGGCCTCATCACTGTTTGAGAACACCTGGACAATATGAAATGACACAGATGAATTACATAAAGCTCACACAGCACCAGCTACGCTCATGCACAATCAATATGCCCAAAGCTGGTTCAGACACGCCTCGGCCTGGTGCAACTTCACCCATAACACTTGCACAAGAAGGACAAATAGCATCAGCGAGTGTCTTTGATAACACTGCTGCTTTGTGACATTTTCTCAAGCCCTCGCATTCAGGGCACGTAAGCAAGCCAATCAGCTTGATCTAAACTTCAAGAACACCAGCCAACTCTAATGTTAAACGGATTCAGGCGCAGCGCCCGTTGCTGACACGGTCAGCTGGTGCCGTTGTGTTAGGACGGGATTACCCTTGACGAACAAAAGCCTAAATACTGCACGTAAAAATAGAGCTCTGCTCGGCCCAAAACACACACACAACACACACACACAACCCTTGCAGACACACACGCGCGGGCACGCACGCAGTCAGTCAGTTAGTCACTCACGCGCGGGCACGCACGCAGACACAAACAGACGCTTAAACACCCTGCCATCGCTCAGACAGCCTGCCACCGCCCGTTTTCGTTTCCTCGGGCAAACTATCGCGGTTCAACGACCACGTCCACAGTTCGCTCGATATGAGTTACCTCAAATCTGCCCTTGGTGATGCCGTTCATGTCTGTTGCAGTGTCAATAATAAAGACAGTCCTCGGCAAGCGCTGCGCACAGCGACGTTTGCGCGTTTTGTCAACGCTGGCGATCAAACTATTGTGAGACAGACGCGCAGCTGTAACGTGTGGCCTGCGAGCCGTTCGTGTCTGCGCTGGTAACCGGAGAAATCCCGGGCTGGCCGCCGTCCGTGAACCATCACACAGCCAAAATAACAATAATAATATGGACGGAGCAGACTGCTGCTCTAACCTCACTTCCGCCTCCCGAGCTGCCTCTCTGACTACATTTCCGCTCGAGCGCAAATTCCTGCCCGAAGTGAGTGCCGCTTAATCTTTAAACGACGCCAATAAAATGCAAGAGGTTTCTGGCAAATAAGCTTAAAGAATAATCCTTTTTATTAGCACTGGAGTTAAGAACGCGCTCGTGCGCTCCAGGGGTTCAAAAGAGTGGCTGTCGTGACGTCACTTTTGCGGGAAAAACACGCGTGGTGGGTTTGTTTTGGTAATGTTGTATGAGGTTGCATAGGTGTTCCGTGGTTAGGACGCAAATAGAAGTGTAGGGAAATGAAAAGCGACACTTTATTCATACAGAATTAAATGTCATCGACAATATTTTAGCACAATGTCTCTGTTAGCAGAGCAGATGTGCATTGAGAAAATATGCTTTTGTGAAAATATGGATATTGTCAAAATTCTATTCAATTTAGTTTCGAAGCATCTAACAAACACACACAAGTAAAACATTTCCACATTTTACTGCATTTACGTATTTGTTATTTCATTTAAATGTCCCAGATGTTAAACTGCCTGAAACCAATTAGCTGAGACTGTTAAATACAGCTTTATAGTTGATTGATAGTTGAATAGTCATAAAATGATTGCTGTCTGTTTACACAAGTTTGTCTGTCTTCAGCAATATCATGATGACGTGCAAAAAAATCTACTATGTACTTTGGAAGTCTAAATTGAATAAACATTTCCACATTTTACTGCATTTACGTATTTGTTATTTCATTTAAATGTCCCAGATGTTAAACTGCCTGGAACCAATTAGCTGAGACTGTTAAATACAGCTTTATAGTTGATTGATAGTTGAATAGTCATAAAATGATTGCTGTCTCTTTACACAAGTTTGTCTGTCTTCAGCAATATCATGATGACGTGCAAAAAATCTACTATGTACTTTGGAAGTCTAAATTGAATAGCAAAAACAATGTTTTATTTTATCTAGGAAATACGATTTTACAGCCCTGTAAAATCAGACAGTCTGAATGTTATAAAATGCTGATTTCTGTTTTTGAATAGGCACTAAATGTGTTTTTGCACGGCAGTATTTCTGGTCAACAGCAGAGGGCGAAAGAGAGCCGCATTGCTGGTGATTTTTTACCTTTCGTGATTTTAAGTCTGTGAATGGCGCGTGAATATTTTCTGGTTAGTTATTATTCAGCTATTGGCTAGTCTTTATATATTTCCCGGTTAGTCATTCAGCATCACAACATGATGTGTTTAATAGGACTATTTAATATAAGGTATTTCCCAGCAAGAGATGCAGTTTGTCCCTAATGTGTAGATGTTGGTGCTAAAACCTCTTTATTTTTGCATCAGTTTGAGGCTGGAAAAGACTACAGAACTAAGGTGTTTGGTCTTTAAAATGAAAGAAGTTTAACACCACTGTTACTCTTCCTAGGAGTGACATCAGCAAAAATCACTCCAAGAGCAAGATTCCAGAAGGTTCCAAAGAAGTAATATCAGCATCTGCAGGCCTCTCAGCATCTTGGCTAAGGTTGTCCTGGAGTCCACCATCAGGGACTGAACAAGAATGGTGTGCATGGCTGGACAACAAGATGGTAGCCAAGAACATTTTGCCAAAGACTGTGTGAATGAGCCAGAAGACTATGAAAATAATGTTTTTTGTCAACAAATGAATGTCAGAAATAAAACGGATTGATATAAAGAAGTGTTAAATATGACCAAAAAAAGACACCGCTAACAGGGGATATTCTCAGAAGCAATGTTCTCTTAAAGTTAAGATCAAACATTATTCCAGTCGCATTAAAAGAATGTTCATTTGAAGTTATCTGGTCTTTAATAACGTTCTCAAAACGTTAGCACAAAAATGTTATTTGTACATCATTAATAGAATGTTTCTTCTGAAACTGAAAAAATGTTACGACAGGTTTCAAAACGTTCAGAGAACATTCAAAAATAACATTCCCATAATGTTTGCAAAGTGATAGAAATGGAACATTCCCTTAATGTTTTTGCTAACTTTCCCATAAATGAGAAAAGTTTTTTAAAAAGCTTGTTGTTTTGAATTTTCTGAGAACATTCAGAAATAATTTTCATACCTTAATAGGAACATTATAAAAGCATACTTAGAACATCTTTTTGTTGGTCTGTCAGCTGTATATTGGTGGTTTTGTTCCTCTGGACCAGGACGTCTTGCTTTCATTGATAAAGTTATGACCATTTTGCTTAAATAAATGAAAAAAAATAAAAATGCAACGTTTTCCTGTTTTGTTTAACTTTTGGTGAAGAACTGATCTCAGTGTTGTTCAAATGTATGCAGGTTCACAAATGTTCTAGCACTACTCTATGTGCCGGCTTAAAGCTGTAATTGTTTGGCTAATACCTTGACTAAATAATAAGGTAAGGAATTTTGGATCACACATAGCTCAGTTATTGAAGTAAATAACATCAGAAGCTGTTCAGACACACTCAGTCTGCGCTGGCCACAATCCTGCCACTTACTCACTAAAAAACAAACATACTTGCTAATTCACACTCACTATCTCTTTCTCGAGCACAGAGGTACACATAAAAGCCTTTACAATTGAATGAATGTGAGTGGGAGTGTGTGTTTGTGGGTGGTTGCGGTGGGCTAAGGCACCCATTATGCTTTCGCGTCACATATAGTGTCCAACAGCGCCCATATTGGGCAGCTTAATCAACGTTACTGTGTCCTGAGGTTGGCCCCAAGAATTTGGGACACAGACACAGTTGGTTTTGTCCTGCTCGTTCTGAACTGACATGCAGCCAGGCGCGCTATGGTGACAAGGAGACTCACCAAAATTTAGGGTCCGGTCCTAAAAAAGAAAAAACACATTACACGGTGGCAAACTTTCCTCTGTGCCAGGGAACCTCTGAGCCGGACTCCCCACGGCACTGGAACAATCCCAGTGCTTAGAGTCTCTGTTCTCATGCGGCACTGCACAGGTTCTGAGTCATGACGTATTTACTGACAAAGCCGTGCGAGTTTTCGCACGAGCGCACCAGCAGCTCGGTAATGTACTTCTTGGTCAGATAAACCTCCTCTTGCACCTCTGACACTGCGTCTACTAGTTCTTTTCTCTCGGCTATTGGAATCATCGGAACTGTCCGTTTGGAGAGCGCAATTCAATTGGGATTTTTCACCTTTCCTGACAGTTTTTTCCAGAAGCACTGTTTCAGCATGGGGCGAGTCTGTCACCGAGAGCTCGCGCTCCTGCAGCTGCTGGGATACTTGGCTTGCCTGACGCGCGCGGACGGTGGGTTTCACTTGATGATCTGGGTGCGGTCATTTGTTTTACGCGCCTCTGCAATACGCGTTTATGCGAGGTGATGAATGGACGCGTGCGTGTGTCCAGCTTCCAAAATATTGGAGAGTTGTGTGAATGTCATATTTGTTCTTGGTGGTGTGTGTGTGTGTGTGTGTATATAAATGCATGGGTCAGTGGCCCATCTTTGTTTGTTCTATTAAGTTATTTAAAAGCACTTATAAAATCAGCTTATACAGATTGACTTGAATAAATTCAAGTTTTAATGATTTTATAATGCAACTAAAAAAAAGTCTTGGTGGTGTCTGGAAGCTCATTCAAAGATTTAAATTCTTGAGGAAAAAAAGATAAATGTTACTATTTATCAAATTTGTTTTTTGGGGAAAATATTAATAGTTAAAATAAGTTTGTCAGCGTCAGTACGATTTTTGAGAAAAATCACACATTCTCACCTTTTTAATGAACTATTTATTTCAAGTCAAATGAAAGAAAACATATTCATGACTGATATTAGTAAAAAAAAGAAAAAGAAAAAAAAAGGTCTACATGTTTTTTGGTTTGGTGTTATAGGCTAGACTTTTTTTCCTTTTAAGATTTTTCTATTATATACAGTAATCCAAACACAAAATAAAGCATCTATCCTGTTTTGTCCCATAGTTTTAGAGTCTAAGAGGCTCTTAGTATTATATGTTGAAATATATTAAAGTACACTTGACTGGCCTTTCTCACACATTAATGTTTGCTGTCATACATTCCTTTTGAGTTAAAATCCTTTAACTAAAGATCTAAATCATCCACCACAAACCCCTAATATCTTCACATCAGCATAACAGACTCATCAATATGACACTAATGAATTTGTAACAAACGATTGATAGATGACGGGTTGTTTGTGGTGGGTCAACTTGATTAGTCAGACTTCTGAACATGACTCAGTCTGGATACCTCACTGACACCAACCTGCTAACGTTATCTGTTCCAATTCAAATTGTTCCCAAACGATGATTTTAACTCATGTGTATTTTCTAGACATGGAGTTATGAGACATTATTGTATTATGAGCAAATAAAAAAATTTGTTTGGTGATATGCTCACTTAACCTCAGTTTAATATTTATCTAAAATTAGCTCAATTTCAGAAGGTTTAAAATAGCAGCTATTTTAATTCCTCTGTGTGAGACTGGGACAAACTAATGATGTAATTAAGAAGTTTCCTTATGCTTGTGATAAAAATTTATTTATGTTTGTACAATCTTACATTTCATTTATTTTATTTTTGGTAACAATGCCAAAGAAGAAACTTTTTGGGTTCCTTCAAGAACCTTTCAGTAAACAGTTCTTAAAATAAAAAATTTTCTTAGTGTGAAGAGCTTCTTAATAATCTAAAGAACCTTTTTTAATATAATCAGCTTTTTGTGCAATGGAACAGTTCCATGGATGCCGATAAAGAACCTTTATTTTTATTTATAAGAGTGTATGTGGAGTGTATTTGTATTTATTGCACATCTCTGTTTCTTTAACCCTCATTTGTTATAGCTTTACACTTTCACTCTGCCCAAAACACTGCTAAATACACTTTATATAGTAACTGACTTTATTCAGGGTATCCTGCCCTTTAAAATGGCCTTTTGACATACAAAGCTCTTTGGTGCTGTAATTCATACCATTCATACCCCCTGTACATATCAACTTGCTGTGGTTATATCCATGCATTCTCCTAATTTTTTTGATGTCCTTCTCATTTCCCCTGT